AGTTATCTAGAAATTTACTGTGCAAACATAAACAATTTCAAAGTAGTGCAATAAATCTGATAAGAGTAGTTCACCTTTAAAGAATAATTAAAATAGACTGAATAAAATACATTTCTAAAGAAATTTACCTGTATCAGAATAATTTTTCCAACGACCGAAAAGAAAAGGCTGTGGATCAAATTAATGTCTATATAACATATCATAACATGTATCTTATTCAGGATAAAATTGTATGCATACAATTTAAAATCATACAGTTCAAATACAATGTGGTGTAAAGTGTTATAAGATATGAGATGGTATGGACATAAATTGACTTGAATCCAGAACATTTGAATGCATTTACCAATAGATAAACTTTAAACATAAATGTATAACATAATATAATATCAAATTTCCTCTTTTTGAAAAAAAATATCCATTGAACATATTGAACATATGTCAGTTTATTAAAAATAAGTGTAAATACATTTACAAGTAGTATTAAAAAGACAAGCGAGGTTTAACGCACTTGTTAACAGCAGCGAAGGAATGGTCAGCTGTGCACTACATACCTTTAGAAGATTCGAATAAAATGCTACCTAGACGAATGTCTGTTTAGATCAGCGCATTTGTTGCAATTAAAGGAGAAGCGTAACGACACAAAAATTACATTACTTCCGTACTAGTACTACTCGTTTTATAGTGTGACAGGGCAGGTACGCTTTAGTCAATGTCGTAATGTGCCAGGAATCCGACACCATGTTTCTTATAATGCCTTAAACATTAATCAACTATATCCGATTAAACGATATATAAACTTTTAATAAGCAAATGACCAACGATAAAACAGCAAATTTTAGCATAAACGTAGTATATAAGACATTAAAGGCATTGGACCCATTACCAAATCTGACCAAAATTAAACAGCACATGTGTGACCTCGCTTTAATATATAAAAGGCTGCTATTTAAGTTTTAACTAAGACTACATGTATGTCCGCACAACACTATCCAAATCATCTCAAAAGAAAAATACAGCACTTTAAAAGATAAATTTCTTCAAAACGAACTTGTTTCCTAGTTTCTAAAAGTCAACAAATGGATATATTGAAAAATTCAGATGTTTTATGACAGTGCAATGCAACAGCTCTTAGACCGATGCGGTTTGTCCAAATGCAAAACAGTTCCCATTTAGGTGGGTACAACGTGTTTACGCATGATTGAAGTCTGATTCCGATATATTAAATCTCAGAATATTTGTATACGGAGATAGGAAAACATTAGCTTTCTATTTGAAGAAAAAGTAAATAAAAATGTTTTGCAGCAAAGCCAGAAATTTAAAATTGGTAATGAAGTGTAAAGCTGATGTATGTGAATGTTTTTATGTACTTGTGTTTTTATTGACGACTCGCAAGATATATCGTGTCTTTCCGCAGTAAATCATTCGTCTTATTCAAAATCATAGGAGACTCGACCGCTCTCAGCCAAATAAGTGATGAGGTACATAATAATCATTAAAATAAAAACCTGTTTCATTAAAAGGCTTATTATGCCCAAGAAACTCTTTTATTTTCATTTTTCAATCTTTTCTAATGTTTGGTGTCCTATTATAGCTTCCAAAATGTTCCAAAATTGCTCATTGGCTAATTACATGACCCATCATTGGCTCCTATTGCTTATTAGCAAGTAGTACAGTTATGTATGGAAGTCAAAATGCTAATTTGTTTACATTTACTTATATGTTAAATTAGTGCACATTCAGCACAACTCTCTTTAGGTGATAACTATCCAACATGGTCTGAAAACATTATAAAAACATTATAAAACTTATGATTTTTACTCGGGTCTGAGGCATATATTGTACCTTTAATTAACCAAACAAGCAAGTGGATAAATTTGACTGAAGATATTTTGGATGATGCATCCTAAAACTGTCGTATAATGTACAGGTTGTACCCTAATTCCAATATACGTCATACCGTATTATTATTTTGTATAATGTCTAATACACGTCATACTGTAAAGATTTTGTTTAATGCCAAATACACGTAAATCGTAATTATTTTGTACAATATCCAGTAATGTGCAAAATAATACCGTCTCTTTGTTTAATACTGATATTTTTACAGATGTTACGTTGGATAACGTTTTATGACAATAAGCATTATAAGCATATTGCAATTAGGGACTGACTGTCTTTATACAAGAACAGGAGAGACTGTGAACGAGTAGTTAAGGTTGCTGTTCCGAATCACTCATCTCTGTGGCTATAAATGTCAACGGACACATGGATTGCCTCATTGTTGAGTTGAAGAATGACGTTGAATAAAACCTAAAATGCAATCAAATTATATATAATTTTATTACGATAGTTGTTATACAGCAAAGTATTTTTCACAGTTCCTTCGATTGTCAACTTCTGTATTTGTAAATTTCTATTCTTTTTTTTTAACTTTTTATGCTATAACTCAACCACTGATGAAAATGTACCGGTCTTATTTAACCATGATTAAGAACATGAACTGTTTATATTTGAAAGAAAACCTTATCCATTCAAATATAATGCGTCAGAAATGTTTTTTTTTTTTTAATTTAATTTTCAAAAGATTGGTTTTATATTGTTGTACTTTTGTAGTATCCAAACAGTTACTCATTGGTCAATTACCTGAACCATCTTTTTCATATATGAAAGTCAAATAGTACTTTATGTAAATTTTGCCACTTTCATGACAAATAATCTCACATTTATCACTAATTTATTCAAATAAAAGCATCTAACATTCTCTAAAACCATTATTTAAACATTATAAAATTCATGTCAGTCCTTTCTAAAGAAGACAAAATTTATTTGTTTTTTTTAAGGAATAATGTGACTTTGATAAATATTTAGTTAACTTCATGAACTTAAGATATTCGAACAACAAAACTTTGTATTCTTCAGTTATATATTTTTGTTACATTTTCTTTTATAAGGATATTCTATTTTCCTCCCTTTTTCAGGAAGACAATTGTTACACTGTTAATGGATTTTTTAACGGTAACTGTATTTATGAGTGCAAAATGTAACAAAGGTAATTACAACGTTTTACATATTACCAATTTAATCTACAGTTATAAATATGTACATTTCCACACGGCATTTACGGTTGTAATATTTGCAGATACAGTGCATATGACATACAACATTATTTTCATTACCATTTTTTTCTAATACAACAGCATTGTTATGACATTTTACCACTTATTGGAATAATTGGTTTATATACAGAAAATGACCCAAACATTTGGTTTAGATATGTCTATATATTGGACGCGAAATCAATAATTAACACTCTTGGGAAAATTATTCCTCTTCAAACAAATCAAGAGCGCACTAGTTACCACTAACTTTGAAACAGACACGCAATAGTATAATAAAGCGTCCATAGTTGAAATAATAAGCAAACTGCATTTTATTGTTGTAACATAATAAATATCTTAAGAATGCATTTGGTTTGACTGAAAATGTTAAAGCTGTTAAAACATACATTATATAGATTGGTTTATACAGAATTTATTTTAGTTCGAGTATGTAGGAAGCTATAAGCCTATAGACACACTCTCGAATCCGTTCCTGGAACCAACCAGTACTGAGCAATGAGTATAAAGTTCCCTGCTCAAGGAAACAACGACTTGAACTCATGTGTCTCATTAGATAACTAGTCCGACGCGTTAACCACTCGGCAATGCCGCCATCAAATGTTACGTAGATTGTATTAATACTTAGGATAGATTAATACCTACAGTAAATTAAACATGGCAACAATGTACTACTTGTACAACCAGCAGTTAAGTACTGTCTAAAGCGTAGGAATACAATATTTTAAAAGAAAAAGGCTATGTAAGACGCCCATTTGGTGCATACTACACGCGCCCTTAGCAGCTAAGTAAATTCCAGTGAAACTTTCCAATTATGCAAAAAGGAGAAGGTATGAAGGTGTATAGTATTTTGTTGGGCTTTTTTGAAGTTCAAAATACAAAATACCTCTTGGTAGAACAATGTGTACTGTACATGTAATATTTTACCAACGATATGATAACATTTTTATCATATGCACTATTGAAATTACACGAACAGGAAACAAATGGAAATGCACTGTACTGAATTGAATATGTTTGCCATCATTAAATGATAATTACCGGCACGCAACCATATCAGTTCGTCTCAACTTTAAACGTTTATGCAACACGATGTATAAAATAATGAAATAAGAGTCGCGTTATAAATTTCAGCAAACAGTTGAATTGACTGAATTGAAACATATGCTTTAAAAAACTATACCTTGAAAGAAAGGAAAAAAATGTCAATATAGAATTTAATGTAAATCATTTCGTAATTTTCACATTGTGTATATGTATAATATGTATTGTCTGTTTGTTTTTAGTATTTTCTTCATAATATTATAGATATAATATAATTTTTCACCTTGTTAGATACAACCAATGAACTTTCTGTGTTAGAACTGTGTGATATTCCAATAAAAATCATTGTCGGATCCAATCTCATCAATCTAGCTTTTTTTGAAATCGATATCAATTGCAAATAGCTCAGTTTTCATTTTCAGCATCCAAAACAGCTCTATCAATTGCATACCTTACACCATGTAGCCTCATTTTAAGCTTAACCATATCAATTTCTTATTGTACCTGCAGTAACTCGGACTCAGCTGTAAGACCTATATCAGACATCGATAGCGCCTCGTTCGATATAGGTTTGACAGTTTTTACTCGTCCAAAGGGATTCGGTATTGTACTCAACACTATAATAATCTCATATTATAAAGGATCATTCATTTGATACTCATTCATATTCTTTTTGCCTAACCTTAGTTCATTTTTTCAACCTCCAGATTTCCATACAAATCAATAAAACTGCTATTTACTTCACTATGCATACGGGAATACACCTACAAATGTATTCCTTGTTGTAAATATATTTCATAGCAATCACTCCGTATGGTAAAAAGAAAATAGATTTGATGATGATATTTAATTATTTTTAATTTCATTTTTCAAAAATATTACAATTTTGTCATTTTATTTTATAACAGCAGCATCTATTTCATTATTGCAAAATTCTCTTCCGATATATAAAGCATACATAAAGTTATTGCAAATAAAACCATGACAATTGATTTATAAACGAAATGGTTTTATCGTACATGCACATTTAAGGAAGCACTTCCAAGAATGGTAGATCTCCGTCGGCATTGTATCTGTCTAAACAATCGTGATCTCCTGGTTTAGAACACGGAAAAAACACATCTGTCTTGTAGGTCATCCAACCACTTTCCCCGCCTGTAGACAACCAATGTTCTGCATGTTGATAAATTTCTCTACCGTATCTGTTTCTAACAAATAAACCAGGGTTTCTTGGAACATTTACCCACTGTCCGTCCAAAAGTACTTTTGTAGGCTTAATTTCCTCAGAAATCAAACGTTCACTGTCCATTATATGCTGGCCATAAAGTTCAATCACCCATCCCTTATAGGTCATTGTAAATTTTCCACCAGCTGTCCTATTGTCTATGCAGCACCATAATGACCCTAAGTCATTAAATCGAAACCCTTCACTTTCAAAATGATCTTTGAGTTTATTTAACGCAGTATAATTTGCAGTAAGGAAAGTAATATCGGCATCTCTTTCCCACGGAAGAGTTTTTCCTAATTTCACGGCACCAAGAGCCGTTCCTTCTTGCAGTTCACAAATAATTCCAGCATTCTCGCAAGTTCTTAAAATAGTTTTAACAGCATCTGCGTTAAACTGAACGGAACACGGTGATAATGCTTTTGATTTATGTTTTTGATACACTTCATTGACACATAATTGTTCATACGTTATTCCATTTGGCATAACAGTTTTGAACAAATCCCAAACTTTCATAAATTCTGCAAGTTGTCCGTAATTTTGTGTCTGTAATGAATTTACATGAAACATTGAATCTGGACAAGTTATAGTTTCGTCGGACTTTCTGGATATCCTTAGAAACCAGTCCTCAAATAAACCTTCTTCTTCGTTTAAATTTCTAAATGGAATAGCTTCCATGTTTTCTTTAGATGTCACAAAAGGACCTTGCGTATAATCACAAAACAAACATTCGTGCAAAGATTCGTCATAACCTTCCAAATATTTCAACGTATAATTTCTATACACTGCCTGGAAACAACCCTTTTTCCAGTGCCCTTCAGAATCCCTAATAGCCCCTGCTGCAACTTTTATTCCCAAGACTTCTATTTCTCGTATGAGCCTCTCTAATCGAGAATCATTTGTTAAATAATGAACATGTCTGGCTACGAACACATACGGAGTTCTTACTCTGTCAACCATGCTATTTAGAGTCGAACCCTCGGATATTCCGGCTGACTCGATCACAGACAAGCTCGGATATTTCATCCTCAAATCAGCAAAGTTTCTTACATTATTTACAGCTAGTATTACACTAAAATTAGAATTAACTTTATAAACTGATGATAAAAAGAAGTCTACATCCTTTATAGAAGAGATTGGATTTTCTTTTAAATTATTGACATGTTTTATAATCGTTACAAGTTTCCAAATGGCAATGCCATATGTACAATTTGTAATTTCGAATCCTTTGTAGAAATATGGATAACCAAACGTTGTTCCCATATACTTTTCAGGACACACATGTTTAGAAGGGTAGGTAGTTCTGTTATATAACTCATCTGGATTTAAACCTAAGTCGGTCAGCAAAAAGTTCATTGTAAGCAAGGCTCGCTTCAAGAAATCGGACGTTTTGGATCCTCTTACATGCTTTTTGGCATTGTGCATAAACTTTGCAATAGATTTTATTTTTTCTAAAACATCTTCCGAATCTTCTCCAAATTTATTCGTGATTACAGTTCTGGCTCGATAATGAGGTGAATCGTTTACATCTAGCGTCCGCCGAATTGCATCTTGTCCTGTATGAACAATGTGACTCTGAAATTGAAACGGTTCTTATTAGGTATGTACTTATTAGGAGAAAATCTTTTAAATTGGCGGCATATAAAGAGGCAAAACAAACAAAGTCACTGCAAATTGTATGTGATTTTACTTTTAGAACAGATGATACAAATTTCGTTGGTTTTTTTTTATTGATTTTTTAAGGGGTAGGGGATGTTTTTATCATTTTTAACTTATTGCGTAATGCTTACACTTTTATGTTGATGATATTGAAACGAGTTCATGCAGATGCTTTATATTTCCATGTTTGAATTTTGTTATTGTCTTTTTTTCTATGAAAAGTTATATTTTAAATATTGCATTGGACCAATTGATCCATGGGAACATACAGGCACATGATATATAATGAAAATACTATATACAATATTAAATGCGGTTTGTTTTGCTTTGTTTCTATTTGGTAATATTATCCATATCGAGCAAATTCCAACATCCAACAACATTTGGGGAGTCATCAAAATATATTAATTATGACAAAGATAATTATAAGTTAGAGAGAAAAGAGTACATGTTTGTTAATTAAGCATACATTGTTTTAAGGTATCTGGTGCGCATCACATATGCATATATATGAAAATACAAGCATATACATAATATGTATACACACTCATGTATACATACATTTATAAACATATGCATACATGTATATACATACCCGTATCTACACATATATAAATATATAAACTAGAAATGTGTCCATAGAATACGTATAAACATCGTTGATTGTGGTAGGAAAAAAACACTACATGTACTAGCATTTGTCCATGTTATAGTAAACGAAAATGTATAAAAATTATTTCATTTCAAAGGTGCCAAAGAAGAGATGCTTGCAATAATGCCATACTCATATTTCACCTATATTAACGTTGAATTGTATCGATTAGATATTTAAGCTCCCATCAAGACATTTGTAATTAACTTAAATCTGTAATTTTGTCTCGATTCAAGGAGGGTAAATTGACTTAGCCAAAATCCAATATTCTAAACCTAGTTATTAATGTCATACGATCCAAGTTCGTGTTAGATCGTATGAGATAATAAGTCATGAAAAGGTCTTCTGAGATTGTATTTCAATCTTTATAAATAGAGTTTAGGTATCATAAACTTTACATAATTATCACTATCTTATTGAATAACTCGGCTCTTTACTTTCTGAATAAAAGTTGTATTTTTTAATGAATTGCAAGTAACCATATTTCAGTGCTGACATTCTTATGAACGAACTATATTTCGAGTTCGCGTTCGACCAAACCCCCCATAATTTGGCGTTAACGAGGCCAAGCCATGGAGGTCCGGGGGACAATTCCCGCCGCAATACGGTAAGTCGAAGCATACTGATCCTGATCAAAAAAAAACTTACGCCGTAATTTTTCTTCAAGGCTTGGTTCTCTGGATCCATCTGCGTCCCCGAACCCACCATCTTGCGTTTTGGTCGTGGAACGAGGCTCTATAAAAAATATGCTTATATTGCTTCATCATCTATTACGATATTTTAGAAAATGTTACTTTTGGGATCGAGCGATTTTCATAATAACCAATTAGCTGTAATTAGTTAATTGGATATATTTCCATTCTAAATAGATAATACATTGCAATTCACCATAATACCTTAAATTATTTTATTTCGCCATACTGTATGTATGTTGTTTCCATTTTGATTCCTAATCAGGGGTATTTAGGGCTATCTCCTGTTAATTTCATGGAGTTTTAAACCAAAAACAAAAAGTAATTACGCAAACATGTACTTGCAATTGGATAACATTTTTACACTTAAATTACAATGCATGTTGTGTGTGACAAGAATATATTTAGACCTTGCATCAAGGAGGACAGATCGATAAAAACAGAGTTGAAATACGTTGTATTTCACAGATTCCATTCATTTATATAGTCGTATAACATCCTTACATTTCTTTGAAAATATCTTAAAAGCTGACAGCAATTCCATCACGTTTGTCTCAGAGGCATGTGTAAACATAATTGAGCCGCGTCACGACAAAATCAACATAGTGCGTTTGCGACCAGCATGGATCCAGACCAGCCTGCGCATCCGCGCAGTCTGATCAGGATCCATGCTGTTCGCTTCCCAACTCTATTACAAGTAGAGAAACTGATAGCGAACAGCATGGATCCTGATCAGACTGAATCCATGCTGGTCGCAAACGCACTATGTTGGTTTTGTCGTGACGCGGCTCATATAAATATTATTTGATTATCAAAGCGTTTTTCATGAAGGCAACTCAAATAATCGCTTTTGATTATGAACATTTAGCCAATGACAACAAATTTTGCATGCATGCTTGCATGGTTATTGAATAAGAGTGACATTTAAAATAATTAATTCCTCCTAGGAATTAGATAAAAATACATATATTATGAATTATACTAGAATCTGCACGTTTATCTCTATGCAATTATTATACTAAATATATTTGTCTGGTCAAAACCTAACCATTTTATAAAGGTTAACTGAAAAGACTTCTCTCTGTTAGGTTCTATTTGTTACATATTTGGTAATTCTTAGCCGAAACTATTGACCTTAGACAGTCATGCTAATCTTGTTCTTCATATATAACCTTGACCTTTACCCTGCTTTAACCAACAGTGATAAGCCTGCCTTTTCTATAAACATTAATATACAGTTGGGTCAGCATTCAAATTTGTGCAGTCATTCTTTATGTTTGACTAACTTTGAATTTTTATCCTGATACTCCCAAAATGGATGGTTCCAAAAATGGTATTTGGACAAGTTCATTAAAAGCAACTGATCTTGGTAAACTCGTAGACTAGACTGCAGCATCGTTCTTACAATTCAAATATATCAGTGAAAAATTACAAGTAATTTACCCCTAGACTTGCCATTATCGGCTTAAGGAACTGTACTTTGTTATTCTGAGACGATAAGATATAAATATGATTGATAATGTATAGTCTGGTCAGACAAAATGAATATTCATACTGGTCTAACTCTTTACTATCTCATTAGGCATGCAAATAACGCAGCGTTAAAGCTTTTTAATGTTCTTGATGTGGTAGTAATTACATTTTTAGAAATAACCTTATTAACAATGTTTTAAAATGAAAAAAAATCGCTGAAAAGAAGTTTGATAATAACGTTTCAAAGAAAAATTGTTTAAAAGTTTGTTACAACTTGTTTAAAAATCATGAAAATAATTCATAATAAAACAAACCTTGCTGTACTCATGAGAGTGTAACGTTGAAAAAGATATCCACGCAAGAATAACTGTACAAAATAAAAACACAGCAATGGTATTTCGTATCCTCACCAGCCTCATTGTGTATATCGGGGGCATTAATCTCTGTAACATGTCAAACTGATCAATACAGTTTCCTAATCAGAGAAATGTAACAGACAGTCCTTAATATAATTAAGATATAACACATCTATTATGTCACAACTAGGTAAAGTCAATCTCGAATAACTCTCTATTTCCCCCCGAATGTTTAGATCTTTTCCTCATACATCCGTTTGCAAACGACTCTAAGTGTTTTCTGAGAGAGCTAAATACAACGTGAAAATGACAGGAAAATATCGATACTTGCTACAACTTAAGGCTTAGATGATTGCATTTACTTCCATGATGGGCAAAACGAATCGGGAATTTATGGTTTGCATCTGACAATGGAATTTTTCCAATCATATCGTCGTAATTAACAGGGCTATAGATCGGTTGGACATGATCGCTGCGTATCCAAGACAACTTTGATGCAAATGAATTCTGTTTGTGCGAAATAATCGATGACCACGTTAAGAATTATTATCCGATTGGGAATAATTGACACTGTGAAATTGATTAAAGTTCATAGAACAAAAGTTGTTGGTTGGACCATACATTTTTATTGTTTTAAATATTTAAAAAAAACAATTCAAAACAAAACAGTTTTCATTTCAGTCCCAATTCTCCTAAAATTTCATTTGTTATACACTAACTACATTTTACTAATACTGAATAAGCATTACTTTTGTTAATTTCCTTACTTCTGGGTTCTTGTCTTGTTTTTTGTTTTGTTTGTCCTTTGAGTTATTGTTGTTGTTCCTTTTTAAATCTAATTTTATACATGATTCTTTACTGTATGTCAAAATTTGTTTGGGTTAATAATTTATTTATTTTTTACTAGTTTTTTTCCATTAATCACATTTTAAAAATTTACTACTTTATACAGTTAAGAAAAAATTTTGCATATTTACCAGGTATTATATCCCGTAACCTTCTTTCAATAATCCCGGGGGGATATTGCAATTGAAGTTTTTAATCATAAAAAAAAAAACATAACGGGGGAAATAACACATGTTTTTTATACAGCTCAACCATAAGGGCTTTGACTTTATATAAAAAAAAAGAACTTCGCAACGGCGGTCCGATTCCATGTAAAAATACGGTATTTTTAAAATTGTTAATTATAAATGTATATGAAAAAAAATCTTAATAAGTTAGAAACTACAGAAAAATGTTTATACTGATAAAAAAGAATGTTAAGTGGGAAAAAACGTTCTGTGGCATCTGTAAACAAGGTTAGAAAGAACATTGTCAATGGATTAGTAAAATCCCAATATTTTCCTTTGGTATTTATTATAATAACTATTTGGTAAAGAATTCATTCGTCGCAATTTCTCTACATAAAATGGTTATATATTTTTTTTTTACTCGGACAAGTCAAGTCTTAACGGCTTTAAAGCTTTGTCTACTGAAATAGTTTTTATAATTTTTGACACGTTTATATTATGTTTTTTTTAAGTTTATGGTCTATTCGCAAAATAGATGTAATATAGAATGCCTCTATTGTTTGACAAACATCGTAAAATAATTGAATAGGCTGGGAAAATGTAATGTTAAGAACAGAACAGAACAGATTGACATGGTATTTGTTTATATTTCTGATGTTTAAATGAATTGCAAATATATTATAACATAGTACACTGTTCATCATATATATAACTTTAATAACAAATAATAATGCAATACACATAATTTGAACAGTAACATGTAGTAACATTTTCAGAGTAACATAATTTTGCAATCAATATAAAGAAATTAATAAAATAAATAATATAAAGAGATTAATAATTGTAATTGTAACAATTGTCATTGTTCAGATATTTGTTATTAAGCCTCAGTTAAGTGAGGATGAACATATTTAAGAAGAAAAATCAATATCAAAACTAATTTTTAATCTATCATTAAACTTTATTTTTAATAAACTAAATTTTTATCTATCATTGAACATTATTTAACACTGTAGTTCTAATAGTCATAGCATTTTTGTAATATAGTGCTAATTTACATAGCTCATTTCTATTATTACTTTGCAGCAATGCAATAAATTTGTACATACTTGGGTTAACAAAATAATATCTTTTAATATAAAGGGTACGAATACTTGTATAACATGGACATATAAGAACAAAATGAAATTCATCTTCTAAGTCTCTTAAAGAACAACATTGACAATACCGTTCATTTCTTTGTATTCTATTTCTGGCATATCTACCAGTTTGTATTCTTAAGCTGTGTGCAGAAGTTCTTAATCTAGTAATAAGTCGTCTCAAATGATCAGGCAATATATCTAAATAATTTTCGTAACAAAAACTAATTTTACACACATTATATAATTCCAATACAGAACTTGTTTCTTTAGATACATGCCACCCCTGTATAAAACAATCAATTATTCGTTGTCTAAATATCGGGATAAAGTTTTTAAATACAATATCATGTGGGTTATTCCAAACATCTGCAAAACCATAGTCACACAAAAGCTTTTTAACATAGGCTACCCAGTTACATAATCCTTTATTACAATCATTTAATGATAGCTGGTAAACTGAGCGTAAAATAATATTGTCTGTGTGCAGCAACTTAAACCAATATTTAACAATGCGTACATAACGGGATATGAACAAAGGATATCTTCCCAACTCTCCATATACACTAACAGTACAGGTAGTATTTCTTACTGACAATATATTTTTACAAAATTTTAAATGTATTCTTTCAATTTGTTTTTGATTTTGTAAATCCCCATATTTCTGACGAATAACTCAAAATTGAGCCAACAAAAGAATCAAATAGCTGACATAATAACTTTGGTTTAAAAACTATACTTTTTACAATTTAAAAGCAAAACATTAAGCGCCTTTAAAGCTTTACCTGCAATGTATTCCTGATTTAAAGTAAAATTTCCGGTGTAATTGAAAACTGTTCCTAGATAATTAAAATCATTTACTACTTCAATATCATTACCATCATATGTCCAAAACTCATTTCCTAGTAAACCGCCTCTTTTCCTAAATACAACAATTTTAGTTTTATCTATATTTACTTCTAATCCCCAACTTTTACAATATTCATATAATTTATCTAAATGCATTTGTAATTCTTGAGGCGATTTTCCTAATATAACCATATCATCAGCAAATAATAGTAAAAGTAAGATAATTTCTTCTATATCAAGTCCAGAACTAATGTTATCTTGTAAAAAATAATTCTAGGTCTTCTACGAACAGAGAAAAAAGTAGTGGCGACATTATCTCCCCTTGTCTTAAACCTACAGCATACTCAAAATAAGAGGAATAATCGTTACATGATCTAACACAGGATTTAACTTTTGTATACATGTCCCTAATAATTCTCAATAATTTACCTTGTATTCCTAACCTATACAATTTTAACCATAGTGCATTTCTATATATAGTATCAAAACATTTTTTTAAATCAACAAATACACAATATAATCTTTTATTTTCATTTAAATAGTGTTGCACAACATTCAACAGTATAAATAATGCATCTACAGTTGATTTACCTTTTCTAAAACCAAACTGCGCGTCAGATATAACATTGTTATTTTCACAAAAAGACGTGACACGCTTATTTAAAACTATTGTAAATAACTTAGAAAAACAACTAACTAATGTAATACCCCTATAATTGTTAACGTCATTCTTATCACCCTTTTTATGTAAAGGTATAATTACACCTTCCATCCATTTATCTGGAAAATACCCAGAATCTAAAATAGCATTAAAAATATCACAAATATGCGACCCTAAAATATCAATACTTTCAATCAAATATTCATTCAAGATAAAATCACTACCAAAAGCCTTACCCTTTTTTAGTTCTTTGGCAGCATTATAAATTTCTTGTACAGTTATAGTTTTATCTAATTCTTCAAAACAACAATCTAAATTATTAAAATCATGGCTACTACAAAAACTTTCTGCGTCAAGATTCTTTTCCTGTAACACATCACTTCCTAGGGATGAGAAATAGGAACAAAATTCTTCAACAGATAAGTCGTTTGAAGATTTACTTTTCTTTTTAAAATAGCTCCAAAATACTTTAGGTTTTGCATGAATTAAATTTCCAATATCATTCATTTTCTTTTGTTTAAAAATACCCTTCTTTTTTCTACATAAATCTTTATACTGCTTTTTTAAATTACAAAACATTTCCCTATTCTGATCCGACTTAAACCTGTTAAAATCGTGTAAAGCATGTAGATACTGAATTCTTGCCCTTGAACATTCAATATCAAACCAGTCAGCCTGTTTTAAAACAGACTGTTCACTAAAATAAGGCTCATTCTTAAACACATATGATTTAGAAAACAATGGATCTGCGACCTCACGTAATACCTCAGAAAAATTATTCATAACGTTATTTACAGATTCTCTGCTATTCTTATCGATATTATTTGTTAAACGATTCAAATATGGTAATCTTGAAATAAGATGTGACCTAAATATACTCTTATATTTATCATCCCATTTATACCTGACCTCATTTTTTACCTTAATCTCATCCATGCGTTTCTTGCACCTCAATGTAAACAACACCCCCGCATGGTCACTAAATTCATTGAATGAATCAATAGTAAAGTTACATAATATATTAAAATAACATTCTTTTGTTAATAAATAATCGATAACGGACGCCCCGTTTGTATTTGCGAAAGTGTACATACCAGACATATCATTAAATAGACGACCGTTAACAATGCGCAAATTGTTTGCTTTACAAAGATCAAGAACCTTGACCCCAAAACTGTTACAGGATTTATCCATTGAGGCCCGTCTTAATGGTATATCGGGAACATAATCAATATCATCCATATTTCTATCAAAAATATCACATGTTATAAAATCATGTTTATTGCCAACGCGACTATTCCAATCTCCAACTAAATATACTGAACCTAAATTTTCAAAGTCATATATATCATTTTGTAAAATATCAAACAAGTCAACAGGGACAACACTATATGCTGGTGAATCTTGGCACCAAATATATAAACCACATATATAAACATCAGATTCAAAATGAAAAAACAAACGGTTTAACTTCAACCAAATAATAGTGTCATGATGTGTGCGAACCACTTCTATACCTGGCTTTAGACTTTCTTTAAAATACAAAACAGTACCTCCACTACATCTTTTCGCACTTCTATTTTGGAACTTTCTGTAAAAGTTATGAGAAACATAATTTGAAAGTTCAATATCACTATCTTTACTGGTCCAAGATTCATATAAAAACACAATGTCATTTTTAGAAATCAAATTTACAAACTCACTGT